AAATAAATGTAAAAGAAAAAAAATAATAATAATAATGTAAGAGAAAATTAACAAATCACCAAACTGCAGTGAAAAAACAAATAAAAAATCATAAATCAATCTGATATCTACTTATAGCTCTGGAGTGTCTACTTATAACAACAGGGAGGCAATGGTTGGTACTTTTCTGTGTTAAAAGGGCAAAAATATACTCATAATATGAATATGTAACATAAGTCCTGACAGCAACATTAGTACTCGATCAATATCAGCCAAAATAAGATGAATGAAACAAAACATCTGCAGTTAAAGATCCAGTTAGTGTTTAGTTTTTTGATAGTTTTAATCTTTTTTTTTTTACATACTGTTATATTCAGAAGATTTGAATCTTTTAGCACGGTGATGCAGTGGGTAGCACTGTTGCCTTACAGCAAGAAGGTTCTGGGTTTGATTCCAGGCCCGGGGTCTTTCTGCATGGAGTTTGCATGTTCTCTATGTGCATGCGTGGGTCTTCTCCTGGTACTCCGGCTTCCTCCCTCAGTCCAAAAACATGACTGTAAGGTTAATTGGCTTCTCTAAATTTCCTTATTACCTGTCAATTACTTTTCAAAAAGTTATTTTCTTTCACCGACTGAACTATAAAATCAGGTTAGTGACTCACACGTTCATCATCATCCTCCGTCAGAATATTGTGGTTACCAACCAGTGTTCCACTCCTTAGATGCCCTGGCTGCTGTAACTGCAGATCCAATGTTTTACATAAACATTTTTTAATTATCCCACTGTCTCTCTTACCTTGAATACTGGGTCCTCTGGTCTGATTCATGACAAAAAGGTCAATAAAAGAGCTTTTAATATATCTTACATTCTGGATCCTCCAACAGTTTCTTCAACAGATTAGGTTGTTTTTCATTATGATACATTAAGACTCTTAAAGTAACACAAAGACATCATTCATGTTTTTTCTCTTTATTACCAAGTAGAACAGATGTTACATTATATAGACATTTTATATATTTACCTTTAAAAGATTTGGGTGGGAAATTGACATGAGATGTTTGCATATTCTGACTCTAAGACATGAAAAACATTAAAGCCAAAAGGCAAGAAAAAATAAAGGAAACCATCAGAAGTTAAACCACTGTTGTTCATTAATAAGGCGAAAATTATTTTTTTTCAGTTTATTGTAACAGTATTCATACCCTCTAAGCTCCTTTTGTCACTTTAACCCTCAAACTTCTTTGCAATTTAATGGGATTGTACCGGATAAACCAGTAAAAAGTTGGGTGTGGTTAATAAGGGAAGAAATAAATATTAAAAAAATGCAAGCAGGCATTTCCTCTTTAGATTCATCTTCTGGAGGAAAGGAAGGAGATTTTACTTTGAAAAACAGAAAGGCACACAGCAGACGGGTCAGAGAGTGCTGGGAAGTTTAAATTAGGGTTAGGGTAGAAAATAGTATGACGGAGAAGGGAAAACAGTCAGAGAAGAAGCCAAGGCCCATGGGGACTGGAGGAGCTGTAGAGATCCACAAAATAGATGAATGTTGTAAATCCTAAAACAAGGGCCATTATGGAATGATCCTGTCTTAAGTTTGAACAATTTAGTTTAGAGGAAAAGAGCAAACAAGTGAAAGAAGATGCAGATGTGACTGAAAATTACCTTTTTAGCCGAAATGTAAAACCAACACTGAACATCAACCTAAACATACCATAACGGTGGTTAAACAGTGAGGGCTTCATAATGTAAAGGTGGTTTTCTTTAACAGGGACATGGTGAAAGATGCGTCAGAAACTTGAAAAGAGTTAAAAGAGTGGCAGAGGTTCATATTCCAGAAGGACAATGAGAAAAAATTAACAGAAACACAAACAAAGGACAAAGGTTTACATCCAATAATACTGAACGGCCTAGTCAAAGCTCAGATTTAAATTAGGTTTGGTAAAATTTTGTAAGGCCTGAAAAACTGTTTCCTGTTTAATCCAATCTGAATTAGCTCAAACTATGATACCAAGAACGAGAAGACCTGCTACAATCATACCTAGAAAGTATGAACCCAGAGGAGCTAAAGCGAAATCCACACCACTCATGCCAAAAATTCGATCAACTATGTAAAGATCTGCATAATTTTCTCTATAATTCAGATTTTTACATTTCATTTTTGTCTCCTAAATAAAAAATAGAGGCAGAGCTGGGTAGACTACTACTTTAATATTGGTTCACTCAAGTAAAAGTAGAAAGTAGTCATACAATAATTTACTCAAGAGTACCTGGTAGAATGGCAGGTTAAGTACTGAGTATTTGTTGGCTCATATTATCTGATTTAATGTTTAAACTTATGTAATCAGACGAATTCAGGTATTTGGAAGTATAAAATAAAATACTTATAACCCTTTAATGCCAAATGTATCGTATTTGATACATACGGTTTCTGAAATGTTTTGCGTCTGACACCTTTTGCATAATTTAATGGTAAAAACTTTGCTCAAAATCCTATTGTACACAATCAGATATACCTGATAACAGCCAGTAGAAGACTACACAAAAAATAATCTTGACTTATCGCACAGTAATTAATTATTAATATCAAAAATGTATTTCTGTTTTTTTTCTTTTTACATATTTTGTTAAAAGGGCAAATAAGGAATTCAAACAAAAAAAAGTAATTTTCTGTTTTGTTTTATTCTTGGATTGGGCTTTAAAGGGTTAAATTACATAATTAAAAAAAGAAATTTGTTGAGATGAAACACTTTTAAAAACCAAATTTTTAAATATAAACTATAAGAACATAATTCAAACAGTAAGTAATGCATAAATTAAGGGAAAGGAAAAAATAACTAAATCGCATTATCTGCTGCTTTTATCTGATCTCAAAGTACTCATGAAGGGAACAGCATCATTAAGGGCAACTACACTTAAAAGTTAATTTTCTTAATGTTACTCAAGTAAATGTAAGTAGTTACTACACCCCTCTGCAGGGGTTTGTTTATGACGCCACTAAATAGGGAAATGAGGGTGTGAATACTATTACAAGGCACTGTAAAATAACTTAAAGAGGAAAATAAAACCAATTCTCCCTCAACTAAAAGAATATCTTCTTTTCTCTAAAGAAAAATAAACAACTGTTGGTAAACAAATTCATTTCTCTTAACTGATAAGCAAACATGAACCGTTTATATGTAGGATGAAGCTATAAGATGCAGTGAAACTGGGATCTGTGAGCAAATCGAACACACAGCAAGACCATTGCAATGAACACCTCATCAAAACATGCCGGATTTATTGACAGCGAGTGTTTGAAGGTGTGAGGACAGCGAAGCATTGACCACACCTACACATCGACACACATCATGACCAGGGTGAAAATGCACAAATTGGTATTGCTTCGACAGGAACGGTGAGGTACAAAAACACCTTTAAAGTGGCACCATCGTCCACAAGTAGATTTTTTACTTAATTATTACTTCTGAACACAAACCAGATGAAAAGAAATGCACGTTGTGATTCCTTAGGTAAAACTAAATGTAGTCGGGGTGCTGACATCAACGAACTAAAGGACAACCACAGATGAGTCTGTATGTTCAGACACGTTATCTGAAACAAACTTTTAGATTTATATCTATATAAATATGTACACTTTTTACATATAGGCTTTAAAATATTGCTATTAGAAAATGATAAATTGTGTATTTATGACGATGAAAAAGGAAGAAATTAAAACAGAGACTTAAATAGTGCTCTCTTCATTAGAAAGACCGTTTAAGTCTTCTCCTACGATAACATCCCTAATAATACTTTTCAAGACCTCGTGATCCTGGCCAACAAAAATTGACCAGTTTTATTTTTTTTAAAGCAGCATTAAAGGCAAATCCTACAATCAGCAACCCAGAAAGTCGTTTACTTCTTCAGCCACTTTCAGGTCCTTCTCATCCACATATGGCACTCCTACGTATCTAAGAGCCAACATGTTGAACGTGCCGGTGGAGCCTGTAGGGAGTCGTTTACACCGACAGGTCCAGAAAGAGCAGCAACTTTGACAAATGAACAAAACCCTCATAAAAACACCAGATACCGTTGCCTCCTGCTGCATGTTTTAGTAAAGCACCTGTTTATTTACAGTGCCGGCTACAGTTATTTGGGCCCTTTGTAAAAAATGCAAAGTGGAGTGGAAATAAATGTAATTTATATTGCAGCAGCAAAATCCAGCCTTTATTTCACTACCTGTTCACGCAGTTGTTAGAGGACCAGTAATGATATTCACATCACTAAAAGTAGCCCAACTCCATTACAAATGTGTCCAAAACTATGTTGATATTCTGCTCATTTTGAAAATGCAATTTTTTGCAATGGCAGTGTTTCCAAAAAAATAAATACTTAAAATTGCATGTGAATGCGTCTGTTAATGGGATAACTCTGAAAACATGGCAGCTGCTGATTTAAACACATGGGATGTATCCATACTTCAGCCACGCCTCTAGTGGGCGCCATCATCCTCCAACTTCTTTGTCTTTTTACAGTAAGGCCCAGTTGAAGATCACATGACTTGTGTGATGTGAAAAAAAAGTGTTTCCATTGCAGTTTTCAGCTCAAAGGGTTAAAAAGTTATAAAAAAATCGTGGGATTTTTTTAAAAAAATGCAATATTTCCATTTTGCAAATGTTTTTCTGTGATCATAATTTATTCAGTAAGGTGGTTTATGGAAGTACAACTAGTGAGAAGTATCATAAAAGCCAAATCTCATTGCAAGAAAAAAAAAAGAGCCACCTTGGAGTTGTGAATCTCCATGGAAACAATTACGCTTCTATCGTGCCTTTTTTCAACAAATATGAAATATGTGAAAAATACCCTCTTGCCCACTGTTTTGCACGGACTAGGATCTACAGTATGATGCTGTGGGCCTGTTCTTCAAATTCCACAGGAATCTTTGTTAAAGAGCTTTGAGAGCAGTCTGAAGTGCCACGCCATTTAAAATTAAAATAAAAATGCACTATGGGCATCGGAAAATGTGTCAGCATTTTGTTCCAGGAAATCCTGGAGCTGAACAGAAGTGAGTCAATGATAGGAACCGGGATTCTTGAAGACGGAGGGATTGTGCAGGGAAAGGTGAAAGGATTCCCTCTCTCCATGTGTTTCCTCCAACAACTGAAATGTTTGAAGTAAGGAAAATCAGCAAAATACCATCAGAGGGACCAAGAGTCCCACCACTATCATTTCTTAACATGGGATTTATTTCTGATTTACATGCCTTTGAAACAAAGGTTGAATTTTTCTCAAGCATTCAATAGAAGATTATGCTGCTGCAATAATTGATCATTATTGGGGGCTTTCTTTGCAGCTTCCTAAAGATCGATAATCTACATATGTGGCTGGAAATACATGTCTGTGTCAAACCTGAACACCCAAAAATTTCAATTTCTCTTGCACAAAAAAATTCTCTTGTAATAGAACCCAACTAAAGCCATCAGGGGATGAAATTTCTAATTTTACACAAGTATTTTTACTAAGTTGGTCTTCAATTTATTATTTTCTCTAACAAATAGAGTTTCTTGCAAATATACTTATACACCTTTTTAACTTTATCACATTGAATCCACAAAATTCTGTTTAATTTACTGGGATTTCATGTGATAGATCAACACAAGGCACATCATACTTGAGTATTAGTAGGATTAAATGGCTCATCATGCTGAACTCACCGTCCCCACAGTAAAGCATGGCACTGGCAGCATGATGCTGTAACAAGATGTTTCCCTTTACAGAATATCGACATTGTGAGGCAGAATATAAACACCAACCACACATTTTCTACCTTCTATTTACTTGGAAATAAAAAATAAAAAAAATTAATGCATTTACTTCCAGTTCACACTTATGCTCTACTTTGTGTTGGTCTGTTAAATCAAGTCCCAATAAAATGCTTTGAAGTTTGGGTTTAATGACCAAAACAGGGATCATTTTTGGGAGGTGCTGTCAGTTCCACAGGGTGGAAAAATTTTTAGATTCAGCATCAAATCTGATTGTAAGTTCTGAAGAGCAGCGATCAGTTCCACGTCAGAGAAACCAAAACCTGCTTCTTTATCGCCAAACTGATGGCTTTTGGCTTTTCTTTTTTTTCAAAGCTTATTAAACTAAAGGAAGAAGTTCTTCTTAGATGATGATAAGGATGCTACCACCAAATCTGAAGAGGCAGTGTATATCAAATCTCACAGGTAAACCCCCATTCCCCGAACAATTACTCCCACCTTTACGATTGTTCTTGATTTCATACAATCAACTCACATCATCTCCCACTGTGCATTTACAGTATTTACCAGTTAAACATTAAATAAAATAAATAATGCTGGATCACTGTATGAATTACAATTATTTTACAGTTAACAAGCTTCCTTATCTTTTTACCCCGTTTCAGGTCACGAGTTCAAGATGCACAAAGAAGGATCCATATTTACTTGCATAAACTCTGTTCTTCCAGCATACCTCAACCATTCTGATGGTTTGCTAGAGAACTTCAGATGTCCACTAAACATGGGATGGATCCATAGTCTTCACAGTCAAAAGCCAGGAATTTCCTTGGTGCTCTTCATCAACAAACCTGCTAGTTATCTGCTAAATATTTCCCTGTGCAAAAACAAAAATAATTAAAATAACATGTCAGAAGGAGGAAGGCTTAATGCCTTAGACGTCTAAAAGTGTTAAAAAATCATGTATTGTTATTGACCTGCAGCAAATCTCTTCTTCACCAGAGAGAGCCGGTAGCCGGTCCCAACAAGCTGGATATCACAGCCTGACAGCGTGCTTCCCTCACTGGTGAACTGGACCGCCAGCTGGGGCTTGGAGGGTTTACAGGGACCTTCCTCCATCTGGAACCGGCCCAGTAGAGCCCCTACTCCTACACAATACACACATGTTTAGATAATAGAAGAATGCAGGCAATGGGACACAATTAAGGACACTCATTGCTACTTGGTAGTATCCTTGGGGTCCTTCATACAGTAGCTCAGCTGTCTATGTAATGTGGTTTGGATTTGTTGTTCTTTTAATAACTCGGGTTGGAAAAAGCTTTAGCCTTTCATGATGAAACTTTAGACTATGGCATACTGTGGTATCCTGTGAAAAAAAGGCCTAAAGTACCAGCCCTCCACACTGAAAAAAAAATAGAGGTTGACAGAACTTACATTTTCTAGGCAACGTGATGCATTTGGTTTTTTGAGTTTTCTTTACTTAAATTCACTGTGGTTGAGTTTACAAAGATTTTTGAGTTCTGCCAACTTAGGTTTTTGGAGTGTTACTTAGAAATTTTGAGTTCTACCAACTTAGGTTTTTGAGTTTCACCTTTAAGTTCTGAGTTCTATCAACTTTGTTTTATGAGTTTGACATATAGATTTTGAGTTCTACAAACTCAGATTTTGTAGTGTTATCTGCAAGTTGAGTTCTATCAACTCAGTTTTTTTAGTCCTACCAATCGTCTTCACTACCAATCATTCAACACACAAAAAATTATGTTAATACAACATTTTTATTGCTTCAAGCCAAACATTGCATCAATAGATACAGTATAAAACCATGTTCAACAACATAATCTTAACTGCACAGATCAAAGTAACATGACACTGGACCAGAATGTTCTAGATTCGTAAGAGTGATGATGAGGGAAAAAACAGTAAGACACCATTTTAGTAAGAGGAAAACACACAGGTAATTTTTTGTGAAGTAAGTGTATTAACATATATGAAAAAATAACAGTTTTACAAATTTGGACGGCCTTCAGTTTGTTTTTTTCAATTGTAGTCTCTTTAAATTGGGTGCACCCTTTTAAAAAAAATAAAATGAAATAAAATGTCTTGTTTCCCAACGGAAAAAGAAAAAGGTTTTCCCTTTTTATCTCTGAGTTTTTCTTTTTAGTCCTACCACTCCGACAGGACGATGAATGCAAAAAAAGAAAGTCCTCTTCAGTCCAAATCCTTCTCTTCAGTCCAAATCCAGATGTTCACACGGTTGGCTCGCCATCTCCATTTAAGGAGAGAATCCAGAATCCAGGGTATCCAAAAAACCCAGCCTGCATAGCACAACAGGGCTTAGTTAAATCCATTCACTTCTTGTTCTTAACTGTACAGTTTATATCTCTCCAAGTATGATAAATTTCAGTGTGTAATGTAACTTTTCTAACTCATTACGAATTAACTGCTGCATTACAGGGTTATGTCACTGTTTTTCTTGTAAAGCAAATAAAATCATGAAAGCAAAAAATCCACATGTAAATAATGTAAATAACAGTAAATACCCACATCGGATTAAGAAAGTAAAATAATGTAGTCTTGTAATATTCTGTGCCTGAGTGCAACAACACTGCACTACATAAAACAATTTAGAAATTTAATAAGTTATTACACTCAACTTAATGTCTCTTTTCATTTGTACAATGAAAATATCAGGCACACTCTTTTCTCTATGCATAAACACTCACCCGCACATGCGCGGCATAAACACGCACGCGCACACGCGCATTATAAACGCGCACGTGCGCTGCTTTTCCTTTCACCAGAACGTGAAAAACATGTGAACTCATGCTTCAACTCGGTGGCAATACACCACAAGGGAATGCTAACTCACGGAGCTAACCGCTAACTGTCTGTACTTTGCAGCACTCACCGGGAAAACTGGTAAGGTCCCAGGGTCGTTCCTCCGTGGTTCTCCAGATGCATAAAATCACAATGTCCGCCAATCTTCTCAAACACGAGGGAAAAAGGCTGTGCCCTTGAAGAAAGGGATAGGAAACCCCGTACCGTAGTGGGCGTGTCCATGAACATAAGCAGTGCGCATGCCCATGAGTTTACAGTTGAGGGAACTCAAAAAATCTTGTATAGGCGATTTAAAACTCCTTGTTAAACCAACTTCTGAGAATTTGAGTTGGGCAAACGTGTATTTATTTGTTAGATGTCAAATTTATATTTCTGAGTCGGATTACAATACAATTGTGTGTTAGAACAACAATTGCCATTTACTTTTTTAACAGTGCAGTGGAAACAAGAGGTTTGTGACGATATGCTGAGTTTGGTCATTGTAAATTTGACATATTTCTTAGCTGAAGGCAGAAAGATTCCTGAACTTTCATGTTATCTAACAAGATTTGTTAGGTTTTTAGCTCTGCCAAGGAGGTTATGTTTATAGGAGAGTCTGCGGTTTTGTCTCTGTTTGTAAGTGAACATGATAACTTGAAAAGTCATACATGCATCTTAATGAAACTATTTGACATGCCAAGGTGATGATCCAGGTGATGATCCAGATCTTCATCTGAATACAAAAGTTTTTAAAATATTCCGCAACATTGTGAGATAGGGATATTTGGCAGAACAAGCAGTTCCCCTCTAAACCAGAGGGTGGCAGCAGTGACTATTGACAGCCTTCAGCATCGACTCAAAAAGTCCAGAGGTATTTTACTGAAGATAAAAACTAGTGTTGCACCAATACCGATATCATTATCGGGCGGTGCCCCGATCCAGCACTAAAGTGGCGGTATCGGGAATCGGCGAGTGCCAACAAATAGGGCACCGATACCATTTTGAGAGCCAAAAGTTTATTCAACTATTGTCATGTTCCTGCTTCTCAAAGGTAGGCAGCAGCTTGACAAAGCCATGATGGCAATTATTTGACAACCATGTAGTATGCAGTTCTTCATATATACACACACATCAATTTTAAACAGATAGTATCTGCTCATCCTGCACAGCCAGGTATCGGTATCGGGGCCAAAAAATGCCATTGGGTGCAACAACAAAAAAAAAACAGGAGAAAAGGGAAGGTTTTTGGTTTTTAGCAGGATCACTTGAAAACCTATGAATGGATTTTATGGAATTTTTTTTTTTTTTTTTTACCAGAGTTGCTCCTCAAGCCAAGGAACAATTTATTAAAATTTGGAAATGGTCCAGATCATGTGCGAGTTTTAACCATAGATGTAAGTCACAATTTGGGGGGGAAATTTGCTCCTTGGTTGAGGTCTACGCTCTCCGGGTGCTTTTCTAGTTTTTTATTTTTTTGTTTTTTTAATTCTGTTGCAGAAAATCTGTTTCTGAATGGCCTCAGAAAGTAAATCTTAAATATTCCCAGTTAACTATGAAAGGGTAGATCCAGATCGGCCGACCCAGCCATACCAACTCAATAGATTGACCATACGAAAGGTTTACCTCTAGCAGAGTAGTGTTACATCTACACCTGGCTAACTGAAAAACAGAGGGAGATCCGTCGTTCTATCTAGAGTAGCTGAACCAAAACCACGAACATCTAGCTGGCTTGGCTCATTGTTAACAGAAGAAACAAAATCTTAACGGCAAACTGGATTTGTACAGCTGGGGGAGTAATGCTACTTAAACCATAATCCATCCATACAAAAGAATATATTTTATTCACCTTCATTTATCTTGTAAGAAGCCTGGTCTGCATATAAGAGCATGTTTGATGGTTGTTTCTGTCTACTCCCCTCATTTTACCACTTTGAACCACAGCTGGTAGCTTTTTTTTCTGGCAGTGACAGCAGGTGCGGGATAAAACTTCAAACTGTCTGTACTCTGTTGGTTCTGGGAACCAACACGTTATAATATTACCTCCTTGTTTAGCAAAGCCTGGTTTGGTGCTGGTTTGTTTTCACCACATCTAGTTTTCGGTTAGTTTTACCTCCAGCTAACACTCTGACCTAACTGTGACATAGATTAGAAAAAGGGTCTATTGGCAAAACATATTATGGCCAAATATCTTTAACTATCTGACCCACCCAGAGAACATTGGTCAGCAAGTCTCTCAGTTTACATTACATTTTGCAACTTAACATCTTCTTTTCATAGGAAAGATGAAATCCTATTCGTCAGTCTTTATCTAATGAAATCCCAAATTACTAAATTTAAACTCTGAACTGTTAATTCAAAAACACTTTTGGATAATTCCCAATTCCACAGAGTGACTTTAGGATAAGTCTGCTCCTCTGACTTTCTCCAACTGTCTTTAAAGTTTTTTTTAAGGCTTTTGTTATTGGAATTAAGTCCTTTTTTTATTTTATTCTGTCTAACATAACAACCTTATAACCTTATGGTCAGCAGTAACTGCTTCTTTAAGACCTTCGCTGATTCATTTCCACCCTGACATTGTGTTATAAGACATTCACAACTCTGCAGAAAAATCCTTCCTTTAGGATGATTTTGAATTTTTCACTTAAATCCTATAGAACCAGAAAGAGTGTCCACTGGGTTTTTGTTGTTTTTTTTCCCCCCCATGTCTGATGATTTTGAAGGAAAAAAAAAAACACTTGCCTCCATTTTCAGATCTTTGAGACAGGCTTTGGATTTTCCACTGAATCGCTTGCTGCTCTGGATTCCTGAATGGAGAAATAAAAATGTATTTATATTTATTTATTTTATATTTTCCTCTTCATGCACTGAAAATAAAGTCACTACCTCGACTGACCAAATGGGAAAAATGGTAACAGGCCCAATAATAATAGGTTCAGTAAATGTTTGGGCATCTTATCAGACATCAGAACCCCTAGTGAGGCTGTCCCTGAGTAGGTGTGAGGGATCTTTACCACGTGGCGGGGGGGATCATGGTCTGCAGCCTGGATATGCCCCCATCCACAGGAACCACAAAGTGGATGTTGTGTAACGGCACCGGAGAAGCCATGGCCTCAGCATTGTATTTGTAATCTATTCGCAGGTCGGTGTTGGTGGAATCACCTCGCCAACTCACAGCCAGGTTCAGAGGAGTGGACTGAATCCCCTCTGCAGACACCTAACAGGAAAAAAAATAAATATACAAACAAAAAACAGCAGAATAAAGCAGCCGATATGTTTCATGGAAGGAATAACGTTAGGCAACTAAAAGGCAATCTATACTTGATATTTGATCATGTCCACGTTGTAGTATGTTGCCTGGGGCTTCTGTTCGGCCACTTTCTTGAGATGGCTCATCAGGTTTGGCATGTTTACCCAGAATTCCTTGGTATCCACACCATCCGTTGCAGAATCACTACAAGACGACAAGAAGAGGTCCCATTTAGATGCTGATAATAAAACGATAGTATCTGTGGATATCCGTTCCCATCCAATGCTCTGCACAGACTTTAATATATTTCAGTGGGATTCTTTGTGATTGACCACAACACCACAACATATGTAATTAGGAAGTAGAAGGAAAATACTTTGAACTAAAATACACAGAATTTTCTCATTTTTCTTATTTTTTTTTAGAGTGTCTACTTTGTTTTATGGCTCTAATGACACAAACATGCTTTGATCTTAACCCAAGGTGTCCATCTTTAGTACAAACTCACCAATATCATGCAGAATTTAAATCTATGCTGAACAACACCTGTTTCAAATGGCTCATTTACCTCCCAATATGTCAACCTGTTTTAAGGAGACCTGCTATCTAACATCTCATTGAATGTGGTTGTTGAATCAGGGAAACCTCAAGACTCAACATTTTTTTAGAGCAAATTATGGTAGTATGCCGTGACAATTTTCTTTTTTTAGAAAATGGTTTGCAAAACCATTTTCAACAATTTTCATTGTTTCAACAATGAGGTTCTCTCAGCACTTTTTGACACTGATTAGGTTTGATTAGTGGGTGGCTATTATGTCACATGATTAAATCCTCCCTCCGCAGCTCCTCCGTAGCTCCTCATCTGATTTATTCTCTGGTTAGTGCCCTTACTGCCCGACCTTTTAGTTTAAGTTGAGAGTTTTGGTATATTAGTAGATTTGTCATATTCTTTTCATTTTCAGATGGTCATATTTTATTCTTAATATTTAATGAAGCATCCCTTTGAGACCAAGTGCATTATGTTTTCATACATGGGTTATTGAGACCTCTGCATCATTGGTTTGATATTTCTACCGGAAATCTATAGAAGATTATACAGATATGCCTAATTTATCATAGAGGATGTGAATACATCTTATTTATTTTTTTCATTTGTCAGAAAGTTCAATGACAACTCTAATTTGAAGAAATTAGAATTTTCTTTAAATTATTTAATGGTCCAGGCTTTAGAGAGGTAGGAATGATGTAAAATTTAAAACAGAAATGCAACTGGAAATGCAACCCAAAATTAAAACCTTGTTTTTTCAGATGTTTTTTTTTTTTTTTTTCATTATAATTCTAATTATTGTTTTGAATAATTACATTTTCAAAATCATTTTTCATACATAATTTTTTCTAATTTTATTAAAAAAAATTTAAATCTTATTTTTCAAATTTCACTTTCTCAGACTGTTTTATGAATTTCAGTATTTTCAAATTGCACCCACTCCACATCTGCAGATGGGCTGCCCTCTGGAGTGAGTCGCGAAGACTCATTTCTAATGCTCTGCATGAATGTTAAGCTCCTGTCACACCTTGATGATTTAGACCAGCGTATGCCTGACGCATGAAAAATCTGGCAAAAACGCTGGCATACGGTAGCCTCGTGAGACCATCCTGATCTCGCGAGCTTTCAAGATTTCACTCGCTAATCAGTCTGGAGACTCTCCGCTGAAGAAAATTTGGAGCCGTTCACCAAACGAACGTCCAATCAGCGTTGGCTTTGAGGCGGGTTGAGGTGTGACGCAACAAGAAGCGCGACAGTTCAGTCTAAAGAACATGGCGGCTTCAGCCGATGAAACTAGCGTTAGCGTGGCTATCGAGCAAGTTTTATCGGAATTACAGAGTATTTCTTCACTGAAAGAAGAGCAAAACACTGCTCTGGAGGCTTTTCTCAGAGGAAAAGATGTTTTTGCTCTTCTCCCGACTGGTTTCGGCAAGAGTAGCCTGGCTGTTAGTACGTCATATGCTTCGTTAATCTGATTGGTTTATTTGGCCCGTCTATCACCAATATAGGCCAATCAGCTCACCAGTATTTTCGCCCCTTCCCAAAATTACTTCAACCGAAGGTTTCCAGATGGATATGCGGATCAAATCCATTTGGCGGAGTCAGGTTAGGCATACGGCAAGTATGCCAAGATGTCGAGACGCATGCCAGCATATGCTAATACATGGACCATAAGTTACAGGTAAGTTATTTAATCGTTGAAATACGAAGCCTATGAAAAAGGTGTGCATAACTTATGTGTAACTTATCAAGAACTTATTTCCAAGGCATATCAACGTATGTGAAGTGTTCCAGACGACCACTGAACATGTTTCTAAATTACAGTTACCATATAATGGCTTTTATTGGAATCTTTTTGTGCTTTTTACCCCCCACCCAGGACACTGGCTGGTGACATTTCATGGGTATTACTTTGCCGTGTGTTATGCATAAGTTAGGCTGTCCTTGGACATAAGTTCTGGACTCTATATGAATAGGCTATGTATATGCCAAAAAATTTAAAAAATACATAGAAATTTCAGCGTATGCCAGCATTTTAGGAGATTCTGGGATGTCAGGCATGAACTGGCTAACTCAGCAAGGTGCAACAGGGGCTTTAGCGAGAACATTTTATTTGGTCAATGTGCGCATCAAAAGCCTGTTTTTTTCTTTTTAATGTTTGGCTTGAAGTAAATAGAAGGTGATCTGTAAAATGCAATATTAAAAACATACAATACATAGCACTAAATCTGAAAAAGAAAATTTAAAAAGCATAAAACTTGAAATGTACAATCTAGTACAGAAAATTTTAAATAAAGTTTGAAAAAATGAAATATGAAAAACAAAAATGTTTTACAAAAATCTAAGAAAACAGCTAAATTACTTTCAAAACCCTTTTCTGATCATTTTTTTTAAATAAATTTTCCTTTATGGATTGCATTTTCATTCTTCCATTTACAAAATGTGTTCTTTCCTTGCAATAATAAAGGAACAAAAGTCACACCGTAAACATGAATCGGAGGTTTCAGCTTGCACATGCACAAAATTAGCAGATTTAGCAACTGAGAACTGAATTTCCGTCTGCAGACTCTGATAGATAGACATTGCAGAAGAAGAGGGAACACAGGATTCTTAAATTACAAAAACATAAGTCAAAGGTTCAAAAGCTGTAAATATCTTTGCAAAGCACTGCAACCCCTAACCTTGAAATGACCTAACATAAAATAAAAGCCACAGCTGGATTTAATAGTTCTGGACGACCCCACAGCCATTAAAAAAGGGACAGCTTTACCATGTTTATGCTCACCAGCACAGCAGCTGTGGATTAGGGAGGACTTGCTCCAGCTGGTTATAGTTGCTGATGACAAAGGTGAGGATTGGTTGAGTTGGGTGACAAGCAAAATGCCTGGTTATACCTGCAGGGAAGGAGAGCACCATCTCCCCTGTGATTTTCACCGCACATCTGCAGCAAACAGACAGAAGTGGGAGTGAGAAGCAAACACTTCTAGACATACAAGCTAAACTGCAAAAGCTTTTACCTAATATACACTGCTTAAAAAAAGACCACTAAAATAACACTCTAGATCTAAATGAATGAATGAAATAATTCTGGTGAAAACCTTTATCACACAGTGGAAAATAAAGCATAGAAGGATCAAGGTAAATTAAGATTATCCCACGGAGGTCTGGATTTAGAATCATACTCAGAATAAAGCTGGAAAACAACATTACTGGCTGATTCAGTTTCACCAGATATTTCTTAAGACAAGTCAAAATGTGGCTTGGTGGTGTGCAAAGATTTCTTCCGGGGAATCTCTTCCAAGCCCTAAATTAAACGGTTAACGGATGTTAACTTGGAAAGTCTGTCTAGGCCAATAGAATGAGACAATGTCCTAGATGTGCTAAGCTGGTTTCAAGTCTGGGGAACAGCTCTGTCCTTGGCATCAATTTGGTCATGTCACTCTGTCACATGCTCATTGTAAACCTTTTTTTACTGTATGCTCCAAGAAGAGCACTTAGAGCAAAAGGTAAAATCTGCCATTCTTTGTGTCCACTGGAGAATTTCAACCACTCTGCCATTGTTGGGCAGTGAGGAAAGGTCCCACTTGTGGATGTTAGGGTTGTCATACCACTCTGAAATCCGTTTTACGCTGCTAATTGGCCAAAAAAAAAAAAAAAAAAAAAAAAGATTTGAAATCTGAAAATTAAACCAGCCATTTTTCTTTATTCTTTGAGATGGCCCAGCTTTTCATATAAAACTTTTGTAATTGTGCACAGTAGAATGCAGGCACCACACATGTCCTGCACAGTTTCTGGGTTGATTCAATTTTGCTTGGTCACACTGATGCGCCATCTTAGGTGAGTCTTCTTCACTTCTGCCAGCGGCAACATGGCGGAGGCAAACAGACAGGGGTGGCGTACTAGCTTAGCCTCGTGAGACCATCCTGATCTCGTGAGCTTTCAAGGTTTCACTCGCAGATCAGTCTGGAGACACGTGTAACACTTAATTATAAAAAATAAATAAACGCATGTTGAATGAAATTTGACTTTTATTTGTAACATTCTCTAAACGTGAGTTTTCAATGGAAAAAAGTCACATCACCAACAGAACAGACTAAAGCATACTTCTTTCATCTGGCTCATCTCCCTGTTTTCCCTCACCCATCTGTTCTCCCTCATCCTGCTGTTCTCCCTCATCCTGGTCTTTTTCTGTCTCTGCGTCTTCCCTGAACTCTTCCTCATCTCCTGTCCTGTTATATGTTGATGGTATAGAGCTTCCCTGCTGTGACTGGCTGCGATATATTAATAATAACCATCATGACAATAATAATAATAATAATGATAATAATAATAATAATAATAATAATAGCTTTAACAAATATGCCACATTAGTTTAAATAATGGGCTATTAGGGCAATATGACTGGAAGTCTTGTCACGTGGATATGACTTATGGTAGCCTATAAAATAATAGCTATTTTAATACCTGCTGCACAAACCACTTAAAAATAAAATGTGAATAGCTTTTAAGATTTTTCAATATGATTAACCCTCCTTTCTTGGCATTGTGCTGCAATTACTAAATCAATATACAATTAAGACAAAGAGACCAAAATGGGTTAATTTATGTTGCCTAACAAAACCTATACAACAGAAAACGTTTGTCTTGACACATAGATTTGTACAGAAGAGGATTAGGGCCACTGAAAAAAAAAAAAAAAGTTAACTGATTTTTAAATTTTATTTCAGTTTAACATGGGAAAAAAGTCAGAATTCTGACTTTTTTATTGTCAGAATTCTGAGATTAAAGTCAGAATACTGAGCAAAAAGTCAGAATTCTCAGCAAAAAGTCAGAATTATGAGAAAAAAGTTAGAATTATGAGATTAAAGTCAGCATTCTGACTTTTTTCCCCATACTAAACTGAAATAAAATTTAAAAATCAGTTAACTTATTTTTTTTTTTTTCAGTGGCCCTAATCCTCTTCCATAGATTTGCAATTGCAAACTCTACCAAAATTATTTGTAGCCTATGTGGTCGTCCTCACGTTATCTGTCATTGACTTGGGCTACAGTGTAAAACTTTCAGAATCAGAATCAGGTTTATTGCCATTGTTAGTGAAGGAGTTCACAAACTACGAATTTTTTATGGTACAATCGTGCAACATGAAACATATAATATGGAATAGGTAAATAAAATTATAAAAATATCTAAAAACTGTGGGTATACGTCATGCAATAAAATAGACTAATGTATACACTTAAGATAAAAAATATGGTTATAAAATATAAAAAGTAAAATAGCATCTTACAAGGAGACAACTAGTTTATCTGGTGACCAGTCGGCAAAATGCGTGTTTTGTGCTGCTGAATGAGACATTTTAATGCACAACAAAATGATTCTGCTTGATCTGTTTATTACCTGGCTAATGGAGCACGGGAGAAGCAGCCTGTCAGCGACCGTTCCTGCTATATGAAAACTGCTATGATGCTGCGCATCTGGCATGCCCTGCGGGCGACCGAGCGAGTTCACGTGACAAAGGAAGAGAGAGAGGCTGGTCGGGTGTGCGCAAGTAGGTCGGTCATTTCGGGGCATTGTTTCAGTCGTTTTTAATGGCTCAGCTTTTCAAAAGATCATTTCAAAACCGACCTCAGTAAAATCTTAATAATATTAATAATAATAATAAAAAAAAAAAACGAGTTTCAAAAGGGCATTTTCTTTGATAGAGGGCAAATTTCCTAGTGCTTTAGCACCACCTAGTGTCTATGTGTGCACGCCCCTGGGTAGTTTGGTTTTAATTCTTTGCCTGCTTTTTGTCTCAACTATCACGGTTGCTAGGCAACTGATCATACTGCGGTGAAAGCCATTGAAAGCTCGACCTGTTTGAATCCAAAGCCAAAACTCTTCCGGCCTCCTTATTTTCACAGACTTCGAAGGATCCAGTCCAAGTAGACCGGGTCCTTCACACCCATGGCGTTTTTTAGGTCCTTCTTTTATTTCTGTAGATCAGAGTATGATATTTTATATTTTACCTAATCTACTATGATATTTCTACAATCAGAAACATTTGCAATATAACAATATAGATAAGATCCTGTATCATGTCATAGTGACCTAACCAACCTACTTTGTAAAAAAGGACTTACTTGCTGGGATCAGCGCCTTTGAAATAAGCATTTATAGTTTCCGTGAATGCAGCTGCAACTGGCAGAGTGTCCTGGGGTCCCATGGTGAGTGGGCTGGGTCCTCTGGAGCACCCTGGTAACCGCACAAAGCCAAAAGATACTCATATGTTGGAAGGTATGTAAAAAAAAGTATAGCTAGAACAGACATATTAGGGTTAAATAAACTCTATAGTATTGCTCAGACATTTACATACATACACTCATCGTAGGAATTTATCTAGAGCTTCCATTAATACAAGTTAGACTTTTTTCCCCAAGGTAGAATATAACAACTTCAGTGGATTTATAAATATCAAAATATTGCACGCACGTTTGAACTTATTGTTCCTTTCAGTAATTGTCAAACAGTCAAAGTTTTACATGTCTACCCTAATTTTCTTTAATTTGCCAAATGTGATTTTTTTCTATCGAATTTCCCTAGTCACCTGGTGACATTGTCATGTACAGCTGTGTGTCGTCTGCACAGTTAAGCTAATTTAGGATCTGGGTAAGGTGGAGCATGTACATATAGATAGATGAACCGTTGGGGGATACCAACAGATTTTAATCCTTTAAACCCCGATCCAAGAATAAAAGAAAACAGAAAATTACTTTTTTTTGGTTTGAAGTCCTTATTTGGCCTTTTTAAAAAAATATGTAAAAAGGAAAAAACAGAAATACATTTTTGACATTAATAATTTATTACTATGTAATAAGTCCAGATAATGTTTTGTGTAGTCTTCTACCCTCTGTTATCAGGTATATCTGATTGTGTGCAATAGGATTTTGAGCAAAGTTTTTACCATTAAATTATGCAAAAGGTGTCAGACGCAAAACATTTCAGAAAGCGTATGTATCAAATATGATACATTTGGCATTACAGGGTTAAGGACTCTGATGTACCTACTGACACAAGACCCTGTGCTTGAAGTGGGATCTAAACCAATACAATGTTGTACCAACATGGCCAATCCATTTTACCAGAACTGATTAAATGTGATCATTAGTATCAAACGCTGCACTAATGTCCAATAAAACCACCACAGGGGTTCTTCCACCAAAGAAAACACAATAATTAAAATGACATCCACCATTTGGGACAAGAACAGAGGTCAAACATTCAACAAGAATCATACCAGAACCCCAGTGATGTCTATGTGATGATCCAAACATCAGTGTGCATTAATTGCCCTCTCTATATTTTTTTTAATAACTGAAGTATTTTGCTTTAGTCATTTTTTAATTCTAAAAAAAAAAAAGCAGTTAATCAGCTGAATTTAATGCGAATGATGAGCATACAGGAACTTCTGATGATCCTTAAACATCTATCTAATTCCGGGATCTTTTTGAGCAGGAGATGGGATGTGCAGCAAGACAAGGGATAAAAACAGAATGTCTAGAAGGGCTTCATGCACTGACAAGGGCTCTTTGCTGCTCTTTGGAATGACTCACCTTCAAAGGCTAAAAAAAACCTGCCGTGGTCAAACCACACCAGAGGCTGTGAGGCCTCTGGGTGAGCAGAGACATGAGGGGAGAGAGAATCATGAGAGGGATAAGACAATGAGGTGAGGACATGATGACGAGAAGCAGACGCCATGTGGTGTTCAGCTCAAAAGAGGACAATGCCAACACGTATCCATACCTGTGGTGGGCATGCTAAGGTCTCGTCCTAAGGTTGGAGTGGAAGCTGCACTATGTGTGGTGACAGAGGAGAGGGAGGAGGAGCTCTCAGCGCGGGCCAGGGGTGCAAAAGGTGGAGGGCTCACTGCAACCGGTGGGCTGAATGGCCGACTCTAAAAAACGGGTAAAAAGGACCAAAAGAATTGCTTTTGCTTAATCCTGACACTGAAATGGAATGAGTCATGTTAAAGTGGAAATCTTTTTTATACGCACTAGCTCTGTGATTGGTTTCCCCGGGGGTAGCTTTGGTCTTGAGGTTGGACGAGGAGGAGGAGGAGGCGGCACTGGACTCCCTCGAGACTGAGGCGTGACAGGGCGAGCTGGAGATGATGGGCCTGGGAGAAACAACATCATCTGTCCTCTGAACACTTGCCGTCATGTCACAGCAAAAACAAGGCAAAGCTTCCTCTAGTTCTGGCAACCTTTTCCTGCTAGTTTCACGTAGCAGGAAAAGGTTGCCAGTTTCTAAAGTTACTAAAATTCTAAACAAAAAAATCATACATTTCAGTAAAATAAAGGAATTTATGTAAAATTCTAAGTAGATACTGTCCAGTTATATCATTCTCATCAGATTCAATTAAGCTCTTTTGAAGACTTAATTTCTCCCTTCGTGACTATTTAGTCATTAGGTCCATGTTTTATGCTCTGTTATTTTTCATAATGACATTTTCTTACAGCACTTTGTGTTTATGTCTGTAAAAAGCACTTCATAAGTAAAAAAAACTGATCAGGTCTTACTTAAAACTGTTATTCTGTCTTTAGGAGAATCTAAATAATCATTTCACTACAATTAGGTGAGCTATATAGGGTTAAAACACATTTGTTACATCCTAACATCTTCAGTATCTTTAGAAATAAATATTTCTCTGCAGCTTTGAATATTTTATCTTCTCTACCAGTAAATTTGAGTAAGTCCTTATATTATCCTTTACATCCTCTCTACTGAGTCAATTCCTTCTCCTCCATGCATGTAAGATATCATGATGTCATATAAATTGTCCTCTAATTATACCTGAGGGTGAACCTCAATTGACAAAGAGACCAGAACACTCACTGCTTCCAGAATAGGGCCCAGGGGAAGACATGATGGACCTGTATGCGGTTGGAGGAAGAGGAGGCGGAGTTCCCCTGAAGCTGGGTGTCAGCTCTCTGGGAGAGCCTGTCAGATCCGATACATCATCCCTCTGGTACGCTCCCTCTGGAGTCTGCTTTCCTCCCAGATTCCCGTAGACTAAAGGAGATGTGACCCCTGCCCGAGGGGATTTCCGTTCTGCTGGCAAAGGGGGCACTGGGCTGATTGTAGTGGAGGAGCAGGCATACCCTGCCAGCTGCAGGACCTCCTCGTCGACTCCTTCCTCGTCAGGGAATGCAGTGGAAGAGTCGGAAGGGGAGAAGTCAGGAGGCAAAGGAGGAGCTGGCTCATCTGGAGGCGGAGGTCCAAGCACGATTGAGGGCGGTGAGTCTAGTGGTGTAAAAGGAGGAGGAGATCCTGGGGAAAACGGCGGAGGAGAAGGCGGGGGCTCATTTGGTGGCGGTCCGGGAGAGAAGCCAGGAGTTGAAGGAGTGGAGGAAGGTGTATCTGGAGGAGGAGAGTCTGGTGGTGGAGGAGGAGCTGGTTCGTCAGGAGGTGGAGGTCTGTCGTCCATGAAGGTGACCCATCTGGAGGATGCCGCCTCCTCCCTCATTCTGGGGCTGTCAGCAGGACCAAACACGTCGTCTAGGTCAGGGGCTGGGGACCCCCGGTAAGAGGCAGGGGAAAGGACATTCAGGTAGATGGGGGCAGAGCTTCGGGCTGCCCTGCCATTGGGTAGATCAGCTGTGAAAGAAAGTTTGGACAGTTGTCACTGAACTACAGCATGTGATTGACCTCCACTGAAGGTTTACAGAAGGAAAGTTACCTGCCAAGTCCGAAGGATAACCGTAACGACTTCTAGATGGAAAGGTTTTAGGAGGAAGTGGTGGAGGAGCTGCAGTAGAAACAGTTTATCACCACCAGATTACAGCCACTAGATTAGTTAGGTTTACAGAAACAACAAAGATACGGCCACTCACCTCCTGTTGGAAAACTACGGCTCAGCTGGGATTCAGAGCATGGTCTGGGTTCTCCCCATGCATCACTGCGGATTGCTGCAACACAGGAAAGGGGATCAGAGTTGAGTAAGGAAAACCGGTGTTTATAAATGGAGTAATGTCTAATTAGTAGAAGACGGACCATCATATCTGGCATATCTGCTTTCTGAAGGATGCCTGAACACTGAAGGAACATTCTGTGGCACAGTGGAGCTGCAAGAGAAGACATAACTATTAAAAGCAATGCGAGCACGTATCCATTCCACCTTAGCTCCAGTTCTGACTAATGCAATCAAAAGACAACAGCAGGCTTATAAGCAACATTTGATTTTGATTTCTGGATGGATTGGAATTCGATTTTTGCTAATTTTTCAATCAGAGATCTGTATACTGTAGATCTGCAACTGCACTCACTGGGAGGGAGGAGAGGACACAATTTAGACAGAGTTAAGCTAAGACCTTAAAAAAAAAAAATGTCCATAAAGCACCTGGTAAAGTCCAGAACTGAGCATGAAAAATACATTTAAAAAAGTATTAAGTAAATTAAATGAGGTAAAGTTTCAGAAAAGTTACATAAAGGTTTGATTATAGATACTGTGCAAGAGCTCAGTTACATGTCACCTGATAATACAGCCTGATTTGGTAACTTCCATAGCAGTTTCATGAAAATTCCAACAAAATTGACTTATAAATCAAGTTAAAGGTTTGTATCATTTATAATGATAGAATGAGGCAAAATGTTAAGAAACTTGATTACCTTTTATATACACTGACCTTTTAATCTTAACCAGACTAGATACAGGAAAAAATTCAACTCCAACTTGGACTTGTCTAGTCCTTAATACTACAAACAAATACTTTGAATAACATAACATTGGTAAAATCATATTAACTCGTTGGCCGTTAAAGTTACAGACCTTGGTGTCTCAGATGCACAACTTGGCGTTGGGGTGGAGCGTCTGGGTCTAGCTATCTCTTCACCTATGATTACAGAGAACCATCACAGAAACTTATGTGTTAGTTTATACAGCATATATTTGCTTGATAAGAGTACAATTAATTGGGCAATGTCTAACAAAAGTTTGGATTCACCTTAATATGTTTCTAATTGTGTGTTTTAGAATTGTACAGGACTCAAAATATCAATGATGAAACACGGCAATGGGATTATTAGGAGATTAGGATGCATCTCCTCAGTGTGGATTTAGAATAAGTCAGTGGACAGACTATGCTCACTCACATATCTTTGCTGTGTAATCCTAATTAGCCTTAGCTATTTTTCAAAGACAAATAGTCAAAAATGTTCAATCTTTGCACCTGCAAAGCTAATCAGAACACATTCAAGACAAATGTAGCTGTGATTTTAGTAAATGATGGTTCAGCAGGCTACAGTGCCAGGCGAAATTATCCGTCCCCTTGAACTATTTGATATAAAATGTTCTTTTTCTGTGAAGAATCAACAAGTGCGACGCAGTAATGAAGATGGTACGAAATTTACGAATTTTTTATTTAATGAAAAAAAAAATTGTGTGTGCAAAATTCCCCCCCTGCAGTTAATACTTTGGAGCGCCACCTTGTGCAAAGTCATTTGGGGTATGTGTCTATCAGTTTAGCAAATCGAGAGACTGATGTTTTTGTCCATTCTTCCTGCAAAACAGCTTGAGCTCAGTGAGGTTGGATAGAGAAGGTTTGTTAACAGCAGTTTCCAGTTCTTTCCACAGATTCTCAATTTAATTCAGGTCTGGACTTTGATTAGGCAATACCAACATCTTGAAATGTTCATTTGTGAACAGTGGCATTGTAGATTTTGCTTTATATTTTGGATGATTGTTGGAAGATACACCTCCGTACCAGTCTTAGGTCTTTTGCAGACTCCAACAAGTTTTCTTCCAAAATGGTCCTTAAATTCGGCTCCATCGTTCTTCCCATCAATTTTAACCATATTCTCTGTTCCTGCTGAAGAAAAGCAGGCCCAAACCGTAATGCTGCCACCAACATGTTTTACATTGGGGATGGTGCGTTCAGGGTGATGAGCTATGTTAGTTTTACCTCAAACACAACATTTTGCATCGTTGCCAAAAAGTTCAATTTTGGTTTAATCTCACCAGAGGATCTTCTTCCACATGTTTGCTGTGTCTCCCAGGTGTCTTGTGGTAAACTTTAAACAAGCCGTTTTATGGATACCTTTAAGAAAAGTCTTTCTTCCATAAAGGCCAGATTTGTGCAGTACACTGCTGATTGTTGTCCTGTGAAAAGATTCTCCCACCTCAGCTGTAGATCTCTGCAGTTCATGCAGAGTTATCATGGGCATCTTGGCTGCAGATCAGTCTTCTCCTTGTTTGAGCTGAAAGTTTGGAGGGACAGCTGGGTCTTCGTAGATTCTCAGTGGTCCATTTTAATATTATCGCTTGCACAGTGCTCCTATTGATGTTTGAAGCTTAGGAAATCTTTCTGTATCCAAATCCGACTTTAAACTTCTCCTGAACAGAATCTCAAACCTGCCTGGTGTGTTCCTTGTTCTTCATGATGTACTCTGCGCTTTAAAAAGAGCTCTGAGACAATCAAAGAGCAGGTGCATTTAAATGGAGACCTGATTACACACAGGTGGATTCTATTTATCATCATCAGTCATTGAGGTCAACATCGAATCATTCACAGATCCTCATTGAGCATATGGAGAGTTTATTTCACTGAAAGTAAAGGAGCTGATTCAATTTGCACGCCTCACTCTTCAGTTTCGTTTCTCTACATGATTGTGTCCCACTTGTTGTTGATTATTCCCAAATAAATGTCAATTTTATATCTTTATGTTTGAAGGCTAAAAAAATTAAAGGGTCCCAAATGCTTTTGCAAGGTGAAAGGGGCTAAAAGCAAATACATGCAATACCTTTCGAATTTGTTTTGCAAAACATTTAGGAGGAAAAATATTTAAACCAGCTTCCCCAATATATTCTCCCTTGTATTTTTTTATTGCATAAAATACTAAAAGAGCGCACTGAAATCGAATTACAACCTGTAAAATGTGTGCAAATTTTTGCAATCTGGAAAATGCAATAAAATTCGATGCCGCGCCTTTCAAAAGTATGGCCTGAAAAATGGTGCGTAACTAATAACAAAAACAAAAAGTTGAAAATATTTATTTACTCACATGATAAGTTTCTTTTTATCATCCCCTGCAGAATAGAAAAGCAAATAATAGATACTTTAGAAATAAAAATAATCTATGGAGCATCTGGATAAATAAATTACAGTAATTACATCTAAAATATCTTCAATGTAGAAAACCTGAATTCTACAGTAATAGTGAATACATTACATAAATATGTATTTAAAATAGAAAAATATGGATTTTATTTTTACTTATCCTCACTTATTGATACTTGATTGTACAATTTCTGCACTTTTATCTGCAACACAACTGTAAGCTGAAATCAGGAGGTTGATTTTCAGGCCTCTAACAAGCAGGTGTGGCAGCTGAAAAAGAGAAACTCACCGGACTGCGTCTCTGAGACCAGCAAAAAGGAAGAGAGAACAGACCTGGGTCAGAGAGTGAGTGACAAATCAGTCAACTGGACGTCAACTAAAACTGGACACAACACATCTTCTTTACTTTAACAGCATAGCTCCCATAATGCAAAATGTGCCGTCAGGACAATAAACAGAATGCAACAGCTGCAGAGACAAGATCAGAGTTCTGTCCGTGTTCTGTTTAATTTGCATTATGTACCACATGCTTTGCCAGAGAGGTTTAAGTAAAGTTTAAACTCAGCAGGAAAATGTAACTACAAAGCGGTGGGTTTTGGAGATTAAAAGGAACAAAATAAAACATATTCCACATGCAGAAACATGGAGACCATTAGGAACAAAACTGGCTCTTCCACCAAGTGAGCACATGCCTGCACAATCTTTGGCTGTTAACAAAAAAAAACAAAAAACAGGCGTTGCAAGCTTACCGGACTTCTCCTCTATAGAAGGACAGCAGGAAGAACAAACACAGTACGAGACTTAAACAGATGCTACAAAGTGGAGCAGCTCTATCAGTGTTTAGTGCTGGACAGAACTAAGATCAGCAACGCTCACCAGAGAAGGAGAGAGCGTCAGACCTCCCACAGAGGCTTTCAGCTCATCCATGGATGGAGGAAGACACCGGGCGCTGTCCGCCACCAGCGGCTTGATCCGGATTTTGAACTTTTTCTTGTTCTCTTCGTCATCGTCTGAATCGCTGGAGGAAGAGAGGTGCTTTCCTTTGGAAGCTGGTGAATGATTGTCAAGGGCAAAGAGTGATTGTAAATCCATTTTTTTTCCTGGAGAATTTCAAGTCAAAACTAGGAGGAGACACACTCTCCTGCTCTGGATAGTTATAGAATTTAAAGTTAGTTAGTTGTCAACATGGAGGGTGGAGGTTTTATTTCCATTGTTTCATAAATCATATAAGCAAAGATTCCGTTTGTTCTTTTTATGGAAGTGAAAGGGATTTTCTGGCAGATCAAATGGTCAGACAAAAGCCGACCAGAAAGTCGTAGTAGGTCTGCTGCTAAAGGGTTTTGCTCTTACTGTGATTTAAATATAAAACAAAGCAACTTTCAGTTAATGTAACTCAGAGATGATGTATCTGCTGTTAGTGTGCAGAGAGGGGAGTATTTCCAAGTATGACATTTCATAGCCGACCAATGTTTGACCATTTTTCAAACCTGTTTGTTTTCAATGGGGTTCACTTGGATTCTATGGGTCCCCAGAAGAAATTAACCTGACTCCGCCAGATGGATTTGCTCCGCATATCCATCTGGAAACCTTCCGTTGAAGTAATTTTGGGAAGGGGCGAAAATACTGGTTAGCTGATTGGCCTATGTTGGTGATAGACGGGCCAAATAAACCAATCAGATCAACCAAGCATATGACGTACTACCAGAGCAACGACGAAAACACAACCACAAGCCAGGCTTCTCTTGCCGAAACCAGTCGGGAGAAGAGCAAAAACTCCAGAGCAGTGTTTTGCTCTTCTTTCAGTGAAGAAATACTCTGTAATTCTGATAAAACTTGCTCGATAGCCACGCTAACGCTAGTTTCATCGGCTGAAGCCGCCATGTTCATTAGACTGAATGGTCGGGCTTCTCGTTGCGTCACACCTCAACCCGCCTCAAAGCCAACACTGATTGGACGTTCGTTTGGGGAACGGCTCCAAATTTTCTTTAACGGAGAGTCTCCAGACTGATCTGCGAGTGAAACCTTGAAAGCTCGTGAGATCAGGATGGTCTCACGAGGCTAAGAAGAAATACCCTCATTATTATGTTGACAGCACTGCATATTTTCTCCACATAATTTGGAAACAGAAAATGCATTGAAGCAATTCGTGAAACAGACCACCGTTAAATGAGATGAACAAATATTTCCTCCAGCCAAAAATTATCTTCAAGCAGATGGGTGTGCCTCAACCAGCTGGTTATCAGCTTAACCAACAAACCTTCAGAATGTAATTTATGCACAATGGTTCATTTTCATTCTTTATGGAGTGTTTAACACAGGTTTGCATATTATCTTGACTGTTAGCATGTTGAAAAATTGAGGCAATAAGTGGAAAATAGGGCAGGGACTTAAACACATTCATTTTGATTATTAATTCTATAGATTTTAAGATATTATAAAAAGTAATGCAACTTAGTGTATCTTTTTATATATACTTAAGTCCCGAGCAGGACTGTTTCTTTTACACCTGTACATCTGATGCACAAACAGCATCACAAGTATTCCAGCTGAAAAAACATCTGAGTGCAGTGAAAGTGACGCTGTAACTTTGGTTCTGTGTATTCCTGGATAACTGGTAGTCACACCACTCTTATCAGTGAGAGGAACCCAGGAGACCATTGATAGTTCCCTTGGTGTTATTTGTAGATGTAGCACTTAGATGAGCTACATCACCTATGTGACTTTTTCATTAGAACCTCGACCTGCATGGAGGTATTACTGCAACTGGCAGGCAGGAATGAATGAAACAGGACTTATGTTGTGGCAAACACAGACGTTCCTAACGTTCCACAGCTGCAGCAAACATCGGACCAGATGATGAGCTTCAGGTCTGAAAAAGTTTAAAGTACTCCCTGGTAAAGTAAGTGGCAACATATATTGTTTGTCTTGATTAAGGGCTTAAGGAGAACAAGACGCCTCAGAGGTATATGTGTTTTAATTGCACTAAATGTTGCATGCTTAATAGCGAATCCTAAGCTCTAAACAGCAATGCTTTATGCATAGATCTACTGTTATAGTTCAGTGGAATTCATTTAGAATTCAACTTTATTGTCATTACACTGTCACAAGTACAAAGTAACCATTGTGCCATTGTGCAGCGCAGTGCAGGATTAAGGGTCTTTGCTCAGGCCACAGTGGCAGTCCGTGGGAGTGGGGCTCGAACTCAGAACCTTAGCGCAATACCCCAACCACTAGGCCACCACTCCCCCTGATTGTGATATAAATAATGCTAATGTGATCTTCACACTTAAAGAAGTAGTATCTCAAAGACGGTAACATCACGAGTTTCTAAAAAAGCTAAATGATAACTTTCAACAAATCAAATAGTTTAATAATCTAAGTAATACATTGAAAACAATAAATATATGTGTTGCTGTGGTTATATGTTAATTTTTAATTTAGAAGCAAACAGCGTTTTTGGTTTGGAAAAAGTTGTTTACTTTGTCGATATATGGTTTTCGATTAAAATGCATTTGTTGCGCTATTTATAGACTTTATAATTAACTTGAATGAAAATTTTAATTGTGTTCCAACACCACTCTAAATACTTCTTGATTTCTTCTTCATTGTAAAAAAAAAAAAAAGTTTTGAGAAAAATGTCAATATCAGTAAAAAGTATAAAAGTTATAAATACTAGAAATCAAAAGAGAGATCAGCCTTAAAAAGCTAAATGGTTGACGAAAGGAGGATTGGTGGAAGAAGTGATTTTAGAACTATCATGTTTTGGATTTAACTTGTCTTTATGCTCCTTTGTCTCTGCAGCCCCTGCATGGGCAAACCTGATGGGTGGGGTGGAGGAGACTATTGATTGATCATGTTTAATGCCAAAAGGCACTCAGCTGAAGAGTCACTCTGCTAAACAAGTCAATAGCATTGTGAGCGACATGTCCATATCTTGTTGAAAGGATATCATTGTCTCCCTCACCGGGCCGTAGACTGAACCCCTCCTCGTCGACATCGGGTGAGGCCTGCAGGAGAAAGGAAAACCACGAAGGCAAAGAAAAAGCGGTAAAGCAATGCTTGCAAATATAGATTTGGCTTAATGGGCAGCGAACAATTTTCTCAAGATATTCAGCTTTCTGGTTGAGCTACAGCACACTGAGTTATAATTCTCTTTAAAGAGCGTACACGGTCATTTAAATCCCCAACGCACACAACAAAAACACAGGAACTGCCTTGTGCCAGAGCTATCGGGTGTCTGCTTATCCAACAACAACATACATTGAGGATACTTACATATCTGTCCCAGTCAATCTCCCCGTAGAAACCATTAGGAGCTCCATTGGCCTTTTTCTAAAAAGGAAAACCAGTGGTTATATCAAAAGTGTCAGAAGGTAAATAAAAACAACTCAGCATTGTATTATCACACAAACCATCTGCAACCTTCTCCTTTATTCGAATGAAGCCAAGAAAGATGTTGGGTCTAAATACATGATTTTAGATTGGAGAGTATATCAACACACCTGATACCAAGGAAGAAGTCAATGTAAAAGGGTGAGAAAACACAGCTGCTGACCATGCATTCATGGGACGGACCCTGAGTTTAACCTACCTTCCATTCTGCCCTTTGAATCGTTTTTTTATCAAAAATTTATTTGGTTTTGTTTTTTTAAACACAGACATTAGCGATATATTTGCAATGAGGACCACGGTGTACATACTTTTCCCTTCTTTCCACCTTCGCTTCCCTCTTTGTCAGGTGAGCTCCTGTTTAAAATACAAGAGGCGAGTAAATAAAATTGAATAAAAACAGTCCTTTACGCAAAAGATATTCCTTTTTTACACGAGTAAACTCACGTTGCTTCTGTGTCCTTCTCTTTCTTCCCTAGGCGAAGGGCTTTTCTGGTTCGTTTTTTCAGTCCTGTTGCAGAAAATGAAGAAAAAAGTCATCATAAAAGATATTTACAGCATGAGTGTCTTATAATACACTCAACTGCCTGGTCAATAAAAGCTACTCAACAGCAAATAACCGACAAGATTAACAGTGCAGTAAGCCACGGATCAGAGGACCTTCAGTTTCAATAAAAAAGGAAATAAATTCATGTTGATGCTTTAAATGAAGGTATTGATTTGGAACAAACCCTTAGCTGTGTGAAGGAATCTTAACAAAGACTGAATTGGTAATAGTTCAATTCCTTGACCCTATGGAAAGAAAACTAAAGCTAAGGACAAGTAGGCTTGATCAGAGATGGAGCAGAAGGAACAACTGAATGCACAAACCTTGAAAGTAATTATTATATTACTGTATTTACTACTATAAGTTTCATTCCCCAAACATTTCGGTCACAGAGCTGTGAGCCTCACCTGACTCCGCCAGATGGATTTGCTCCGCATATCCATCTGGAAACCTTCCGTTGAAGTAATTTTGGGAAGGGGCGAAAATACTGGTTAGCTGATTGGCCTATGTTGGTGATAGACAGGCCAAATAAACCAATCAGATCGACGAAGCATATGACGTACGAACAGAGCGACGACGAAAACACAACCACAAGCCAGGCACAAGCCAATTGATAGATCAAACTCTTGCCAAAACCAGTCGGGAGAAGAGCAAAAACATCTTTTCCTCTGAGAAAAGCCTCCAGAGCAGTGTTTTACTCTTCTTTCAGTGAAGAAATACTCTGTAATTCCGATAAAACTTGCTCGATAGCCACGCTAACGCTAGTTTCATCGGCTGAAGCCGCCATGTTCTTTAGACTGAACTGTCGCGCTTCTCGTTGCGTCACACCTCAACCCGCCTCAAAGCCAACGCTGATTGGACGTTCTTTTGGTGAACTGATCCAAATTTTCTTTAACGGAAAGTAGCCAGACTGATCTGCGAGTGAAACCTTGAAAGCTCGCGAGATCAGGATGGTCTCACGAGGCTACTGTGAGCCACCTCTGAGCAGTGAAGCGGGAAAAATCCCTGAGAGCTGTATGTTTTTTAGAAATAAAGGCAGGCAATGCAGGGAAACTGCAGAATTTGTGTGATATTAACGTTAACAAGACACACTGAAACTGAGTTGGAAGTCTGTCTGTACCAATAATGAATTCATTGCTGTGATCCTGTTGTTGGGTGAGCAAATGCTTCAAATTAAAATCATCAAACTTTTTTCTCTTGTTCTTGTCAGAGATGGTTTTACATTTTAAAAATACACCAACACTACCTCTCAGCTCACTATAGGCTTACCTATATACAATTCTGCTGACATGGACCTAGAGAAACTCCTGTCTTGTTTTTGTTGATGAAGTTTTTAGCAAAGGAGTTTGATCAAGTGTTGGGATAATTGCAGCATACCTCATGCTGGTTTTACAATTAGGATTTAGACAAAAGTGTTTTCATCCTGCTTCAGAAATGTAGCACTTTCCATCAAATGTTATAGAGTAGGAGTCTTTAACCTTTTCCAGGTAAAGGACTCCCAAAAAGACGGCGAGATGGAGCAGGGATCCCCTAATCATATATATTGTATTAAATTGTGTTATAGCAAACTGGTCCTATAGTCACTCTGTTACATATGAAGTAATGTAACAAAGTAATAATAATCTGGGATTATTAAAGTATTTCTGATTCTGATTCCTGGTTGATGGGACAGGTGCTGTGAATGAAATGGTGCCCAGTTTGAAAGAGTTCCTGCGTGTCGCTGAATTTGTGCATTAATGACTGAAAGACATCTTTTGCATCCATTTTAAATTCATGTTAATGTGGATTTAAAGACATTTCAATTAGTGGAAAAAATTGCAGGGGGGAATATAAAAAAAAGTCTAATCAACCAAAACTTTCACGACCGCCATGCAGTACCTCTGTGGACCCCCTAGGGGTCATGGACCCCCTGTTGAAGATCTACGTTATAGAGGTGGTATTTCAGCCTCTCTATGCCACTTTTCCAGAAAGAAACTACAGATATCAGAGTAGCAGAGCTGTTATCATGACATGAACAAACAGAGAGGTAAAGCAACCAATGCCTCCTTTCTATGAGTTCTAATTTAGCAGGGCTACTCCACTTAGTGCGTCTGGTGACCGCTTTAATCACTGTTGTTTCCAGCCTGGTACTTTTTTGGCTTGTTTTTTTGCTGCCTGCTCAGAACCAGGCTATGTCAGGAAAATGTAATTAGGCCTAGCATTACTGATTATTTTATTTGAGGATTAATGTTGCGAATTAGGTTTTCAATTCACTGATTAATTTAAAAAAATAGATACTCTGAATAAATTAACTCATTATGAAGAGAGCTTTATAGTAAAAGATAAGCAAGACATTTAATTATAGCACATTTTTTAATTTTCGTTATGCTCACAATATAGCAGTTTAATTATCAAAGCTTCCATTTCATTCACTCATTTGTTATTTCGTTATTTATGTTTCTTTCTGGTAAAACGCACTACAATAGATGTAGGGCTGCAAATGTCTTTTTTTTGCTTTTTAATAATTTTTTTGACAGGTTTTCAGTTAACATATTAATATTGTTGACATATTAATATTGGTTCAGTGCTCTGTTCGTGGCACACTGGACCAGCTCTATGCTGTTCATCGGGTGCTCGAGGGTTCGTGGGAGCTCGCCAACCTGTCCACATGTGTTTTGCGGATCTGGAGAAGGCGTTCAACCGTGTCCCTCATGGTGCCCTGTGGGGGCTCCTCAAGGAGTATTGGGGCCGGGGCCCTCTGTTAAGGGCTGTCCACTCTCTATATGACCGCAGCATGAGCTTGGTTCGCATTGCCAGCAGTAAACCAGACCTGTTCCCTGTGCATGTTGGTCTCCGACAGGGCTACCATTTGTCATCGGTTCTGTTCATTACATTTATGGACAGAATTTCTAGGCGCAGCAAGGGAGGGTGTCTGAATTGGGCACCTCATCTCTGCCATTTGTAGATTATGTCCTGTTGGCCTCATCAAACTAGGACCTCCGGCTTGCACTTTGGCAGTTTGCAGCCAAGTGTGAAGCAGCCGGGATGAAGATCAGCACCTCCAAATCCGAGGCCATGGTTCTCCACCGGAGAAAGGTGGACTCCCTTTTTCAGGTCGTTGGAGATTCCTTTTCTCAAATGGAGGAGTTTAAGTATCTTGGGGTCTTGTTCACGAGTGAGGGACGGATGAAGGGTGAAATTGATTGACGGATCGGTGCGGGGTCGGCAGTGATGCGGTCACGTATCGGACTGTCGTGGTGAAGAGGGAGCTGAGTCAGGGGACAAAGCTCTCGATTTACCGATCAATCTGCATTCTCACCCTCACCTATGGTCATGAGTAATGACTGAAAGGACAAGATTGTGCATACGAGCGGCCAAAATGAGAGTTTCCTTTACAGGGTAGCTGGGCGCACCCTTCGAGATCGGGTGAGGAGCTCAGATACCCAAGAGGAGCTCGGAGTAGAGTCAATGCTCCTCCACGTCGAAAGGAGCCAGCTGAGGTGGCTCTGGCATCCATACTGGATGCCTCCTTGTTGCCTCCCTTGGAAGATGTTCCAGGCATGTCCTATTGGGAGGACAATTTTTGGAAGGCCCAGGACACGCTAGAGGGACTATTTCTCTGATCTGGCCTGGTGTCGCTTCGGGGTCCCCCCGGAGCAGCTGAAGGAGGTGTGTGTGGATTGGGTAGTCTGGGCTTAAAGTGGAACAGGATGGATGGATGGATGGATGGATGGATGGATGGATGGATGGATGGATGGATGGATGGATGGATGGATGGATGGATGGATGGATGGATGGATGTGTAGGGAAGATAGCAGGTGGTTGGACTGTATTTTGAACTATTAGGTTGCACCGTTCAGTTTTCCATCGGACACAATCAAGAGGAGTGCCGGCCAGAGCACTACTTAAGCCCAGAAGGATGTTGAATGGGGATTAGGTCAGAAAGGAGGACGCCAGACTGGATGATTTAAACTTGACTTTCTTGTATTAACTTTAGGTGGTATC